GTGATTTAGTCTTGCACAGCGGTTTGATTTTTTTTTTGTAGCGCGAGCTGGTGAAACAAATCTGTGCACGTGACGATTGTATGCACAGCAAACTAGAGTTTTAAATGCAAAAAAACTAAAATCATTACGGTGAAGTAAAAAGCATTATTTTTCTAGACTAGTGGGGTTAAAATAAAATTTTACAGATTTGTAAATGTCAGAAACGGTCGTTTTCTTGCAAAATTATTATTATTAATATTAATATTGTTATTGTTGTAATTTGCTTACCCTAACAAACGTGAAATAAATATACACACCTGAACATAATTATGGATGCCATGAACTGTCTTTTTTCCACGTTACATAAAAGTCTTAATAAAATAATATGTGAGGGTAGACGACAACAGAAATTGTTCCTGATTAAAATTACGCGCACTTTTCAATATGTCTTAATAGATTTTCTAAAATGCAATTAAGCATTAAACGTAAATTATTAAAGCATTTAAATTATTAAGCATTAAACTTAAATCTAAATTATTGTTATTATTATTGTTATTATTATTCTAGACACCCGTGCTTAACATAAATAAGCAAAATCGTTTCTCAAACGTTTAAATATGTTTATTTTTTCAGCTACATTTTTAAGTGGAGCGTCATATTATTAAAATCTGCTGATCTTTTTATTTTCCAAGTGTCTCTAAACAAAATATAGACATCAAGATAGTTAAACGTTATGCCATATTTAATGCCACAAAGAAAAATAAGTATACTAATGATCCACAAAAATCTCTGTCTAAAGTGTAAAAATGCTTATGACATTTGTCTATTGCACCTGTGAAACATTAATTCAGCATCATGCGGCGATTTTTTAAAATTTATAATTATTCTGTTTATATGTATGTTCTGCCTATTTATTTTTCCACTAATATAAATAAATTGAATGTTAACGGGTCTCTGGGGTCATCAATTCTAAAAAGTGATTATTATTATTATTATTATTATTATTATTAAACTTCGTCTTGGTATAATACAATAATACAATGTATTCCAGTCAGGGTAAGCAACTCAGCTGCGAAGCTCTGGACTAATTTTACAGCGTGATTCGAGCGCCCTCTTTCTGCGATATTTGGATGACATTTTTTTATTCGAATAACTGCTAAACAGTATTCTTTTTTTTCGTTATCGAAAAGTCTCACAATGTTAAATACTGTAATGTTTGTATGTGTATTTTTATTGTGCCAATTATGCGTTCTAGGGTTTCTTAAGAACGCTCCCCTCTGACACCTAAACTCTCACAAAGGGCTGCCCAGGTTTTAAGCACGATGCGGAACATTCAGAGAATCTTGGATGCCAAATGACATTTTCCTGGATCAAAAATTGTGATGCATCAACCCTGGATACAACCAGGCCTAATCCAGGTTAGAATGCTTATTATAAATAATGTCTCCTCTTCCAGTGTGCCCCTGATATGGTCATTGCCCATAGCGTGCAATACTCTCAGACTTCCTTACTCGATGGCTGAGCTTTTACACAGCAATTACAGCGCACCAACCCCAAACCGCCGGCTCTGCTATACATTCAAACCACAGCTTGAACTCATCACCAGCAGCAAAGTGTTCCAAAACCCATAATGATTATAGGATCAAGCCCTACACATGCTTTGTTGCTTTTTCTAAATTGCAAATATTTGAAATTTCAAATTAATCGAATTTTTTTAGGCGTAGTTCTCTCCAAAATACTAAACAGTAATGTACACGACGTGTACTCATTAATAACAACGCAGGTCGCTTGGATTTAAAACCAAAATAATTTTGTAGAATGTTTAAACCGGGAACATTTAATACAGGACCTGAATAGATCTTTTTTGCAACAGACAGATAATTGTAGCATCGTAGTGCCAAAAATCATAAAAACACAAGTAAGAAGAAAGTGGTTCTTTAAGCGGCACTGGTGTATTTGCTATTCCCACTTACTTTATTTCCCTGCCTCTCAGTATAGAAGCGGAAATCAGTTAGGTACACAATCAGATACCAGGTACATAAAGAATAAATTCCAGCAGTTCAGGCCTACTGTCTTGAACTACAAAATCAGAATCATTACAGAGCAAAAAAAAAAAAAAGCGCCTCCTGTAAAATCACCTTGATCAAGTAAAAATGTTCACAAAGGAGGAATCCGGCGAAAGCGCCAACTTGTTGTTCATAAACAAAGACTCTGGTCTGCTGACTGAGGTGGTGGTTTCTACCTACCTAGACACTGCGAGGCGGCTACAGCACCGGGTTCCGTTCTGGGTGAGGGCCCTCGGCCTGCAGACGAGCTGCTAAACTGGGGGACGGGACGGGACCACACCCTCCGGCCGGTGTCACGCACTGAGCAGAGGAGTCGCGCACCAACCCCAGACCCATGTATCTTCACCTTAGCCTCGCGGCCACCCCACCCTGGACCGCATTTGACCCGAACACGCTTGTACTTCAACACCCTTCCCCCATGCCGACCCACTTCCAGAAGCGGATATTCGGTGCAGCACTAATTCCCTGCTCGCCGTGTCTAAGTAAATATAGCTTATTTCCTTATTTTGTAAAAAAAAAAACAAAAGTTTGGGACATGCTGAAATGTTTTAATGTGCAGCAGGTACAACCACATTAAAACCCGTTGGGGGCAGCGCAAATTTCATATGGGGAGGCTGGGCACGGACTGTAAAAATTTAAACCACCGAATTCAGATTTAGATTGAGATTCAGATTGAGAGCAATTCATCAATACACCCCTATAATCTTAAACAATGTGTGTGACATCCTATCTCAATCAGGATTTTCCGTACCAAAATGATCATTTAAAAAAAAAAAATTGAAAGTCTCTTTATCAGCAGGCGAGATAAAAAAATAATCTACCGCGAGTATAGTACGTGCTGTAAATTTTCTGGTTGGTCTCATTTGCAAACAATAAATGCTATGCTATGCTTTGATAATTTGAACCTTATATATATACTTCATAACATATACAATATGCATAAACAAACTAATTTGCTTTAGGGTACAAAACAAGAAGTAGTTCAATCGGATTAACACAAAAACATCCCGCAGTGGTGTCAGATATTTTCTGTAAACTAAACGTCTACATATGCTTTCAGAAAACCCACTTATTGAAAACCAATGTAAACAATCTTTTGCGAGAAAGCAAAAATAAGTCTGTGCGCGTGTAAGTTTCAATTACAAAATTATAAACACAACAGAGCAAAACTAAAGCTCTTAATGTAGTCTATACAGAACTACACTCATTCGCGCCATTTAGAAAATAATTCTTAAAATGGCTAGATTAAATTAAACAACAATAATAATGCAATTAATTCAAATAACGCTTGTTTCGTTCGATATGAGAGTATAAATTTCTATATACAGAATTTATATAGTCAGATACACTTAATGTACTTAGTTATCCACTGAAAATAGAAATAAACATTTTGGTGTTCCAACATGGACAAGGTTTTTAGTAAAATCAACACAAAATAGCACAGCAAAGTCGTTTAATAATAAAGTAGTGAAAATAGCTTCCTTGTATCGTGTTGTCCTTGTTTGATAACACAATGTATGTCTTTGATCTGATTATTGATCAATGCATCTTATATAGATCATACTCACACAGCATTTATTACATTATATAATTTAATAACTATATAAAATGCCAAATTTGTAGTTGAATTCAAGACATATTACCAATAAGAATATACCATGAAAGATTGCTATTGTAGACGTCTGAATATTAAATTATAAATAATCCTCGGTCACGCAACACGATTTACTAGAACTTATTTTAGTCCTATTCTCACTGTTCGTCTTTTAAAAGCAAATACATTTGGTTTAAAAGGCGCTTAGTGTACAGTTCTAACTGCACAACACGTACAAAAGTACATCTCTTACTATTTCAGAGACTTATGTGTCAGAAACGGTAATCTGGTATTTTATTTGTTGTATGAATTCAGAGAAGGACATGGAGATACAAGTGATTTTCCAAATTCACGGATCCCATTGTATGACCTGTACTATCTTGACAAAAATGTAAATTTAACGTCAGTTTAAATGCGTTTTCTTTTCCGATTCCCATTATCCTCAACAGTCTTTGTCAGTTTCGTGATCACCCCATTTAACATTTGAACGATAACATCTCGAGTAGAGAGATTGATTTCCATCGGCCCATTGTGAAAAGCAATGAGGTTTATTGCGTTACAGTTGAACAAATATATCACAAAGCAATTGTAAGAAATGAGCAAATTACTTGTCGCACGAAATGAGAGGAGCAAAATTGAACGTATTTGTTTATCGCAAGTTATTATTGTGTATTTTAAAACCAATTCTTCCTCAACGTTCTAGTGCTCGAACATTTGAATACAATTCAACGGAGCGCCTAAAACATTGTAATAAGAAGCAAAACATTTTTTTAAAACTTTCGCGACTCGGGACAGAATGAAGTGATTATTCGGCAAGATCGAGAATTCAACGTGAATAATAAAGAACTAATTTTACATTGCGTATGCAGATTGTTATAACAATGCTGCCAGTAATGGGAGGTTTACTGAAGTTTTACATCTATACCTTGTCTACTTAAATTCTGTTCTAGTGAAGCTGATTGAAAAGATACGTAGATCTAATGTTAATATATAAATAACAGCAAGCTATATTTTAGCCAGCGTATCTAGAGTTGCTAGAACGCTGAAATGTAGAGAGCGTTTGTCATACGTCGTCCTCTTAAAGTCATATAGGCTTTTAACACCACTTACAGTTCACGCACAAATACTGAATCGAATGACTGTAAGCTTTATTGAAATATAGCTGCCTGTGAAGCATATCTGAACCACAGTGCACATACAGAGATTTCCGTTCCTGAAGGTCAGAGACTAGGCCCAACGGTCACATCCACAAAAACTAGACCATATTTCACAGCTGATCTGCTTTCAGCATTTCCGTACAGACTGCATATTGCAACCTCTTCCTCTAAAGCTGTGCAAGAAAGACAAAGTGTTCAGATATATGCACGTAACCTATTGTTTTATTTTTCGGTAAACATTTTAAGCGACAAACACGGGCATATGACCACAATATCACAATCATGAAATTTAAAGACGACATTAACAATCACTCAAGAATTTTATGAAGCATTTACTCAAAACGGTTACACGTTCGCAGTTTACCTATAATTACAATAGGTATTAACATTTCACTAATTACAAAAAGAATGTGACCTGTTAGTGACCACATACATTGAAATATGCACAACACAATCTAAAGGCAATCATTGATTTTGTCCCCTTCTGAAACTTTTTTTTTTCCTGTCAGATGGTGCAGAATACTGGAAAAAAATACTTCAGTATCTCTAAACCCATTCTTTGGTCTATAAAATAACAGTAAGAGGTTAAAATAAAAAAAAATATATAAAAACGCTTCGTGTATTTAATTTATTTTAAGAAAAGGACAAAATAACAAAGAGCCTGGGGTGGGGTAAGGGCATTATAACTGCTGATTTATTTTTTTTTCCGTTCTCTTTATACCACATCTTTATTTAAAAATAATAATAAAAAATTAGTATTTAATTTTGAAAAATCAGAGCCCACCAGGAAAGCCATGATAAGTGATAATACTGCAGACATGGAGCTCCGGTGATGGTAGTAGAATCTTCTTCTTTTATATTAAAATTAATTAAAACTGCAGTCACTATTTAAATACACATTCTACAGTAATTATACTGCCATCCCAAAAAAAAAATCTATGTTTTTTTTTTCCCTCACATTGCACGTTGCTGACAGTGGAATAATAAACAACCCCCGAGACTTGACAGATGTGCACAGAAAATGGGGAACTTGAATAAAAAATACCTGGGCTTCTGTTGTTTTGCTGTCGGATTCCTTTATATATTTTACAATGTAAATGCGTGTAAAATGTTCACTTACAGTCTGATCCACTGGATGTTTGTTAGTGTATAAGTGGGTTTGAAGTAGACCCCTGATTTTGATGTGTGAAGTAATCAGAAAGTCCTCCGGAAAGTCCTGTAGTGAAACTTGGCAAAGAGGGTCTTAAGGACTCGCAGGGGAGGGATGACGGCGCCTGCGGAGACGTGGAAGAGGCCGCTCTGGCCGTCATTGAAGTGCTGCTCTGAGAAGTCATTGAAGGGTGGGGGACGTGGGGGAAAAAGTAACTGGTTTGCCCGGCTAGAAGGTTGACAGAACAGGGGTTTAAGGAGTATGTGCCAGAGCAGGGGACCGACAGGCCACAAGGCACGGAGGCGGCGAGCGCCGCTGCAGTTAGGTGGTGAGTGGCGTAAGGAATTTCCCCATTTACGAGTCTGTCTACGCTTAAGCCATTGGACGCAGGAAAAGAGTGGTTGTTTCCCAGGGTGTTTTGAGTCAACACTGAACTGTAAGACATTGGGTGGCTGGGGTAAGCCGAGGTGGTCCCATTGTAGCTCAGAGCGCTGCTCGCCCGGGGGTGGTGCAGGGAGAGAAAGGGAGACATCGGCCAGTACAAGGAGCCAGCCCTATCCATGAATGTCAGTCCCGTGGAGGTCAGGCGAGCTCCCCGTTTAAAAGCCAGTTTAGCTCTCGAGGTCGTCGATCTCCTCCGAAGTTTGCCGGTTGTCCCGCCTATGAAGACATCGTCGCTAGAAGGGTCCAGCATCCAGTAGTTCCCTTTGCCTGGGTCATCGTAATGCCGGGGAACTTTTACAAAACATTTGTTAAGGCTCAGGTTGTGTCTGATGGAATTCTGCCACCCCTGCTTGTTCTCCCGGTAATACGGGAAATTTTTCATGATAAATTCGTAAATGCCATTGAGCGTCAGTCGCTTTTCAGGGCTTTGCCTTATAGCCATCATGATCAGGGCGTTGTAGCTGAAAGGGGGTTTTTCATATTTGCCATTTTTCTTCTCTCCGTCTTTCGCGCTGTCCCCTTCTTTGCAATCTTTCTTCTCTTCCTGCTTGTCCTTCTCCTCCGTGCAGGCGGACTCGGCAGAAGTATTTTCACTCCTGGGGCACACGCTCTCGGATTTCGTGTCCTGCACCTGGGCAGGCAAAGGATTTTTCTCCTCTTCTTCGGGAGCCGATCTGTGGTGGTTGTCACTCTGAACGGCTTCGGGCACCAGGCTGTTTATACTGAACGATGATTTAGGAATCATTTTCACTTCTTTCCGTTCTCCCATATCCAACATCACACACAGGATAAAATAGCAACAGCAGCAGCACAGTTGGATCTCAATCTCTTACGCTGGCGACTCCTGTAGTAGTAAAAAAAAATGAAACAACTACTTCATGTTCTTGAAAAACACGTCGATAAGAGACAGCTAGCTACAATTAATTACGGAGCCACAGACACTAGGCTGTAAAAAAAATTTGGTTGAACCTTTTTGACAACAGCCAACCACAGAACTAGGAGCATGAAAGCGTCTTCCCCCCTCCCAGCCAATCACGGAGCGGACATTCACAGCACTTGAAGCGCGTAAGGATACACAAGGTTCACCAACGCAATGCAAAATGTGCCCATCCCATCAACAAAGGTTCTCGTTCTCGGCTCCAAACCCAACCAAGAAAATAAATCACATCGCCTCCATCCATCCCACTGTATTGGATAATTTTAGTCTGGTGATTCAATATTTTCTCTCTTTGTTTAAAGTTTGTTTATACCTCCGTGGAAAAACACAAGAGGGAAACAGAAAGGTGATGGAAGAGGAGAGGTACTACTTTATGTCTCCAGCACCAATTCTACTTTTTAATTAATCGATTTTAGAAATACACTAGCGGATATCTATATATATATTTTTTTAACAAAAGCCGTGTCAATTACTTTAAGTTCGTGTATGGACTTTTTCGTGCATGATGAACAGTACGGCTTAACTGTGCCAAATACATGTAACGAAAAAGAGGTGAAAGAGAAGCCAGGGCATTAAGATTTGTCTTGGAGCGGCTGAGGAGTCGATGTAGGCCTTGCTCTTCCTAAGCCGTTTCTACGTCTTTCTTCCTTCCTAAAATTGCAGTAGATTAACTTGTCTTAATGTCTTAATGAGGGGAAATCCGCAGGCGCGTAACAGAATATTATTATGATAAAATGCTAGAAATTCCTTGCGATATAAATTCATTTTGTTTTGCGAATGATTTCATGGTGGACGAAAATACGTAATCGAGCGCGTTACAATATGACGGGCGTTTATTTACATTATATTTAGATACCAGTATATGTGAATATAATTTATGTGTGTAGAAACAGACACATGGTACACTTTTAAGACAATTTTCTGTAGTGCCGTTAAGTATTAGAATTGATACAGCATGTCAGTCTTACGAATTATGTGCTAAGCTTACCTTAACCTATAACCCGTATAGACACGACGTGTAAAATGTAACAAAAATGTAATTTATACAAGTATATATTTTACCATGTGGACACTATATATAAGCATGTAATATATACACATCTTAAAATAGTTAAATTAAATTATCAGATATTTTGATTCTCGTGAATTGTTTTGAAAAACAGAATACTTATTAGCAATTATTAAATATAAACATAAGTCTTTTAAACTTAATACTGTAACTTAATACCAAAATAACACTTGTAAGTATTATAAATATATAATATATCCATATTTGTATTATTAAATGTAAGTTTACAATACTATAATGTTGACCTAAAATTGACAAATCTAAAGATAGTTAAACCAAGACAGTTTTTCCAACATTTCCATTAGAAAAGAAAAGATAAAGGTCGACAAAAATGATTATTTTTATCATCAGGTTATTGCTATAAAGTGTATGGGTGACAAATATATTACTCAGTCTGGCGTGTAGTTAAGTGATTTGGTGCAACCGGATTCTGGGGTCCAGGTTACGTAAACATTTACTGCTGTGGAGTATCGCTACTATTTGTACCGCACTTTGATATGCAGGAGGGAAAGTGTTGATTAACGTGAAAAAAGAGATTAGTTGATTACAGACTCATAAACAGCAAACTGTTATTGGAACTGTTTTAAAAATAGACGCATCTGGGTGTTCGTGTTGAAAAATACTTTGTGTTTCTATTAAAACCGACATAATTTTGTATACAAAACAGCATAATGCACATTCAGCTGTGATTGTATACAGCTCTCGGAAATGAATTATTGCGTTATGAAGTATGGGCATAATACTTTGATTATGACATGCTAGAACAGAAGCTGCACAATAAACAATAACCTTTTTGTTAATTATATGCAAATAATATCAGGAGAAGTGCTATATTATACTCTAAACATTTTTTTGCGTGTGAGTTAAGTGCGTTTAACGGGAGGCTCCTTTCGTAGATTAATAGCAATTGATATAGAACAAATGCTCATAGATCTATCAGTATGGCATTAGTACGAGCGTTATTTACATTGTATTGTGTTTCGTTTTTACCGGACATTGTAAGAACAATCCAGTTAGAGTCACGCCATATCTGCATTTTGATTTGTGGTTTGCAGGCCTTTTTGGGTTATTACTCACGTGTTCGGACATTCTGTCTAGCCAGCCGTCCCATAGACGTTTATGTGTGATATCTGAGAAGCACCTGACATTACAGTACAAAAATGTAGCAAAAAGTCAAATAAAAATGTCCAAATATATTTAAACTGTTTTTCACATTTAGGTTTGCCAGAAAGCCTGCGCGAACACACTTAGATATCTAGGTGTTAACTATTTTTTTTTCCCAAAATTCTTCTTATCTTCTGTTTTAGTCCAAGGAGACGAGATGGGAGCACACCATGCGAGAAGAGATCTGCTACGCTGAAGCCAAATTATCTCTACAGCCATTCATAACAATAAAATCAAAATGGTAATTAACTGTAGCTTACACGTCTTGGACTTGTGCGTTTCATTTCAGGGGTGCATTTCGTTAAACTCGTGTTGCGTGTAGGTTCCGTTTTCTTTCTTTCTATGCATTTTAAAATTCAAGTTACAGAAATTCTGTAGTTACCCAAGTGCGTATTTCTGAGGGCAGAATTTCAGGATATTGATTTTCATTTCGAATGATTATTATTTTTTAAATCCGTGACATATTGCTGTCCCCGGAGTTAAGTCACGTCCTGCAATAGTGAAAGACACGTGTATGCATACCCCCGCCCTCGGTTCCACGATTTTTGTTTTTTGTTTTTTAAATCTCTGTGCTGGAAGCTTTTAAAGGAGTCCCATTGATGCAACTAAATCCAAATATGGCCTCTGTAGACTGAAAAATGTGTTAACAATTAGTGATTGGAAGTTACTGTATTTAGCATGTTGTATCTTATGTGGGTTTTGGTTACAGGTTATATGATTACGTTTGCGAGAACAGTAGTGAACTAAACTTCCCAGTGAGAGGTCTTCGCACGAGGGAAGTGTTACTTCAGTACAGCAGCCTCGCCGCGTCACTCATTAAGAGTCGGCAGGTTGTCAGCGGTTCCTCAGCAATCAGAAACCCCGCACTAAAACTAAATTAAGAGCCCGATGATTAAGACAAGCGTCTACCAGGCCTGTCATTTCAGCATCTCTCCATCATAACATTGTGGCACAGTTGAAATTTCCTTTTAAGACTACAGGAAAGAAATATTTTAAACCCCCCTTTTGAAAGCAGCGTCCTCCTGTTGGTGTCTGTGCTCTGTTACCCTTCCTCCTAGCCCCATGAAAGCACACGGAGTTATCGTCCAATAAAACGATAAACATTGTAATTGACCGCAGAAGGTGAGTATTCCAGGGACTCCTTTTGTAGAAGAAATTCGCTCTCGTGCTCATGTGTTCCAGTAATGTTGGAAAGTAAATTGTGCATCTTAATTTTTAAACAACAACTCCTTCTGGTGTATTTTTACGAATGCATTGTTCGTTTGTGCCTTGGTGCTCTGAACTAATTTCGTTTAAGACAAACAGTGTCTGAAAGATGTTTTTTTTTCTTCACAGATGCTTGGCCTATTGGAAATGATAAAGCTGAACAGTAATTTTTACAGTACATATTTTTTAACAGTTATGTAGTTATGTTCATCTCAATAAACATTGCAGAAAACAATATACAAATAAATGTGGCGACTTTGTCAATGATTGTAAGCGGAACTCCCTTAAATGTTCAAAGATAATCTTTCTGCTTTATATTACAGGTACCAGAGAAAATGAATACCGGGCTTTTCTACTAAGTAGCTGGAAAACCACAAAATCTCCTCCCTGCAGACAACCTGCAGTGTTCAAACCTCGGATACGAACTGAGTGATAGGTTTTAACAAAAAGAAATATGACTGATCGAAACAAATCACATGCGGTATTTCGTCATTTGTCATATAGCTGAACAGTAGGTCGCAAACTGCCCCTGCATTCTGATAGTGTTTTGTGATTATTGGCTGATACCGTTTAACATAATAATTGTAAAATATCTAACTATGATTAGCATCAGACATAATGCACTCCGGACTCGAGAAATACAACAATTCATTTTTTGACCAAACCTGGAAAATTGACATTGCAAGTCCGATAAGAAATCTTTCAGTGCTGTAAACTAAGTGATTTCGAGTTACTGTTTCCGCCGGTCTCTCCTAACTACAGCCTGCGGTATGCCGCTAAATTATTGTTTGTTGCCGGAAACGAATGTTTAAAAATATATCAACAGCAAAGATACAAACATCTGATGAAGAAGAGGCTTGTCCACAGAACACTACGCTAGGCACGACTATTCCTCGGTTTCTGCAATATCTTGTTAAACGTGTATACTCTACACAGCCTTGTGTTAGAGTAACCAGGTTTTGAATGGTTATTTCTAGGTAGATGGACCATGACTCGTCCTTTTAAAACAAACATAGAGCAGATCGCAACAGAACTTAACGGTCGTTCACGTGGAGTACAATAAACATACAATATTTGTAATTCGAAATGCAGAATTAATTTGCCCTAAAACACCGTCTGGCGACAGAAGTTCTTGGTAACCACAGTATTGAAAAACTAATATGTCCCCGGGGTCCTCTTGTGGCTTTTTTTCTTCATTTTGGAAAGACTGATATTCGCAATTATTTTCGCCTTTATTTGCTTCTTCGTCTTTCGTGTCCCTTGTTAATTCCTCTACAACTTGTTTACTGTTTTCTCAGATCAATGGTGTATTACACGTTCCCTGTATGAGCCTATATTATATGGAATCTATACTTCTCTTTACACATCAACACAATACTGATGTTCACGATAAATCCGCATAGGCACATACAACAGAACAACTCAATATTTACCACTAATTGAATTATGCATATGTTCATAATGTGCATCGTGATCTATGTCTAAAAATATTGAGAATAATATACACCCAAATAAAAAGGGTTATTATTGTCCCAATATTGTCCAAAAAGGCTAATATGCAGTAAATCTTATCCACAATAGCTATTTTTTTAAATAAAATGTTTGGTAAAATATATTCACTTTTAAAATAAATTCACAATTTAAAGAAATTATAGGCGACATGTTAAAAAGTTTATTTTCAGTTATTGGACAACTTCACACGTGGTTTGTTTTCAAGCAGCCACGTATTCCTTTACAGTAAACCTGAGAATACTGATCAGATAATTACATTAATTGCTTGGAAGATTATAATTGGCGTTAAAGCACTAATAGAGTTACACTGTGTATGAGGTGTGTGTCCCATGGTAAATATTTAAATTGAGCAGCTTGTCTAGACTTGCTCCTGTTTTAAACCTTAAGATACAAAACAAAAACATTACATAAAAACAGTATAACTACTAATACCGCGCAGTTCAATCAACCGTCTTTGAGCACTTTGTTGTAAGGCGTGAGTAATTATAAAAACGCGTTGTGTGGTTTGTCTTGATATAAACTAGGCTTGGCAAGAGAGTACATTTAAATATGGTCATATATTAAAATGATTATTTGCTACAATTTGCTGAAGGGACTTTCTATATTTGCAATAGTATACATTACTTTAAGGACGGAAAAAAAGAAAAAAACATAACTGCAATTTTAAAACATTACGAAACCATAAATACAAATTGTCGCAGCTAAGATATATAATTCAAACTAATTACAGAAAATTGTTCTAAAGCTCAGAACAATGACGAACCATTATGTCTTTTTAAGACTGACAAGCACAATTACTCTAAAATACCGAACGTTGTTGAATATATAATTGATTATAATCGTGTTACTGTTTGAATAAAGATGACGGAAGCGTTTAACGCTGACAACAAAATGTTTATAAATACGCTATTTATTCAAACAGAGCCATGATTCACTGCAGGGGCACACATACTTTGTGTATGGAAATCAGAGATGTTATGTGGAGATGGAAACAGGGCTACCTGGAGACTTTGCAGCGCCTGGTTTCAGGGCCTTTGGGAAGCAGGTTCTCCTCAGCGCTGTCGGGGCAGCGCCCTCTAGTGGTAGATGCAGCGCTGGTTTGCGGCGCTCCGAAAGGCTGGCGAAGCGCTTTCCCCGAGTAAAAACACTCCTAAAACACCGCACTTGACAAATACAACAAACTAGCGCCCTGTTATTTAAACCGGAGCCTCGTTGCTGCAACATTCAATCGTTAACGTAAGAATACAGTTTTGCCCTCGGGCTAAATGTGTAGCGCAGCCCGCTTTGGGGTTGAAACCGGTCGGCAGGAAACCGCAGTGAAGTCATACAGTAACTGTACAAAACGTCGCCGTTTTAAGAAAAATAATATTGTATTGTCGTCCGCGAACGCTTTGTTCAAGTTCGCGTATCAGAGACAGTTCACCGTGTGACGCGTGTAACTGTATCACCAGAGTCTGAGAAGTTCCCGAAAATTACGCTTCATAACTTTTGCCGTCCGTGAAGAAAAACATTCATTTCACATACAAAAAAAAACAAAACAACAAACAACAACAACAACAACCCCATCATATATAACATCCAATATCCTACGTTCAAACGGGGTCAACGGAGGGGTGTCAGAATCTACGAACAACGACACACCTCTAAGAAAAAGCAGTTTGGTTGAAATACCACAAACCTTTCGTCCCCGTCCCCAATACCTTATTGCGGCCACTTGTTCTGAACGATTTCACAACCCCGGTACAAGGCGAATACCCCCCTCCAATTTCAAGAGAAGCGGCCGAAAGCGATGATAAACAATTCGTCGCCAACCGGCAGACCTCTCGCGTGCGCCCTCCCCTCCCCACCCGCGAGAGCCCGGGCTTCCTCGAGCGCGCAGGCAGCGCAGCGCAGCCGGGCGGTGCGGGAGCGCGAGCTCCCCGGAAACCGACTCCCACCGTTACCTTGGCAAGCCGCGCGACCGAGCCCGGGCGCTCCGCCGCACCAAGGCCGGCGCTGGAGGTTTCGGGGCCTCTCAAGCACAGGTCTCGGCGGGGGCTGGTAACCACACTCTCTGGCTGTAAAAGCCTTCCCCCGTTAACCTAGCTAAACTTGAACGACCCTTTTGACTGTTTTCTATGTACTGGTTGTCTAAAGTAAGCGGAACTTCAAAGTCACAGTAGCCAAACAGCCTTACTCTGCGCCCACTCCAACCTGTACCCCTATGCCCGCTGTAATATCAACTGCCTTAGCACATTAAATTCATTTCCGCGCTAACACAGATTTGTGCGATGAATGTGGAGCGTCTCAACCTAAAACGTTAACTTAGGCACGTCAATACAAACATTCCAACAAGCGTCTTAATTCCAGAAATAAACTACAACCCTGCCCTACACTGGAAACAATCTTGTCTTTAATTCTGGCAAAGGAAAACAGGTTTAAATTCCCATCTTGTTATTGTCACCTAGATAGTATATCAACAAAAAACACAATGAAAGTCTTCCGCTATTCTCTAAACATCAAAACTATTGTCATTTTTTTTGCGTGAAATCGATCACAACCTTTTAAGTATATTTCTACAATTTTCTAAATAGGATGCACATTTAATGAATAACAAATTCTTCTATGTTTTATTCGCTATTAGAGAACACTAAGAAATATTTCTGAAGATCATTTTGTGAATTTCTTTGAGGAGTATTCATTCCACGCTAATTGAAAAACGAACAAATCCCAGGAACAAGTTCAGGTTTTTCAGCCAAAACACTATCGCAATTTAAGAAAATAAACACAATTATCTAAAGATTATCAGTCTAATCTTGAAACATGAGCTGTGTGAGTTGGAATTGTTTATGAAAAAAATATCCACATCCAGTATGTGATTGAGATCTGCGTCGTTTTGTATTTGCATCTCTATGTGTAGCCTTGGCATTTCTTTGCATAAAATAGTTGAAGCCACAGAATCAAATCTATTAAGTTTATTGCTCTGTTTGAACCTCCTTTAACACACATGAAGGACTTCCTACTCATTAATGCTAACAAGGACTCATGCCGACCAAACAGCTTACTTGATAACATCTCACTATTATTATTATTATTATTATTATTAATGACGTTTAAAACGTGGACGTTTTCGGAGTTTTAGGGTGTTCGTTTACACCATTTATAGGATTATAGGGAATTACATTCTTATAGCAACCTTGCATTTCACATGAAACTCGCCACAGTGCGTTTACTTTTACAGAACACTGGCGAAGAGTCGTATGAAGTTCTTTTTCATTTGACAGAGGGGTACAATTGATCCGATTTTCAGTGGGGAAAAGTTCAGGATTTACGGAACAGCTTACAAAACTCACTTTGAAATAACGAACTATTAATGTATTTCTAAAAAAAATCGATCGTCTTACCTCGATCTCAATAGTTTATTTATACAAATTGGAAATATAACACATATCTGTCGAATTGAAAATTAATCTGCACATTAGAACTATATTTAAGCTGTTTGCCTGTAATACAAATCTAATAATTCTTCTTTATGGAGAAAAGTAGAGGAAATACCACGTGGATTTTCAGACACGTAAGAAAAACCTGAACTAATATGTGGCATTAGGCATTTCGAAAATAACGGAGAAAGAAATACTTAGGTCTAGTTTTGTTACACATTGAATTAACAACATTTTCTAAAAAAAATAAATTAACCGAGAAATGCAAATACACTATTTTCAGCACACGTATTTAACAATAAGACCATATTTATTTATTAAAAACAAACTTTTTACTATTGTTATAACAGAGGCTCATCTGTAACTAGTCGGCCCTTGATTCGTAACAACAATGAAACAGGAATTAACCAGAAGGCAGAAATGTGATGCACAAATGTATTTCTGTGTCGTCTAATTACTGATGATAATTAATTGGAGATGGAATGGGGAGTTTTGAACAGCTTGGAGTTGGGGTCAATTAAACGAACAAAGGGGAAATTCTAGGGGTTGATGTTCAAGACTGAAAAAATACATACAAAGACGCCTATTCTACCTGGTAAAAATACGGCCAGCTCTGTTATTGTAAAAAGAAAAAGAAACCTTTCTTTAACAGTTGTAAAACAGAATAGAAATACTGAAACCTGATACACAACAGACAACAGGGAATGTTGAAAAAATGAAATACTGGGTAGTCTTAAACTGACCTTAAAGTACAAATTATCTGACATCTAAATCTACCACGAGGAGTATAAAGGTCTTGTGGAATCTAGCGGTAATTTGGCGCCACCGCGTGGCCACTAATTTAACCAGCCACAATTCTGCTTTAAATTCTTAATCGGGCGAGATAAAGGCTTTATAATCTTGGCCTAACTGAACTCTTGAAATAACAACTCAACCTTGACTTACTTGTTATCGTTATTTTTCAGACTTTTAAAAATCTCAAAACACCAGTCATTTTTTGTTTAACAAAATCCGAACTGAAAACTTCAAAACGATTAAACTGAGGGTTCCGTTTAGAAACTACAAGAGAAAACAAATATTTCAATAGGTGTATGATCACGAATCTAATGTTACATAAACAAAACAAACCTAAACTTCTAAGTATTATTTACAAAGATTTCCTCTTACATAAGTATTATTTACGAAGTAAACTTCATATTGCATGATTTTAGATTGTTGTAATTTTAATATATTATGCAAAAGTAGTTCATTTCTTAAACCTTTTTTTTCAGCAAACCCTTGCTTGTAAATGCCTACCTAAAACTCTAATTTGCAAGCAATCATATTTCAACGCTTCCGAAAATACGATCTAACGGATTCAGTCCAAATTCTTAGATTCAATATAGAGCTTAGAGCTCACGCCCGCGTATTGTACTTCTAAGGCTTAAAATTCATTTGACATTCTTTACGGAGAATTGCTCTTAAGGCTAAAATGTTTGAAAAACACAATTTCAGCTAAAGTCCAGCAAGTCGGCGTTACAGAACTGTACTGTGTACAAGAGAATTAAAATACGAGTCCTTATAAGGAAAAACACAAATATATACATCAAACGGTAGAATAAGTTGTGCATTTCAGTGATATGTCAGACAATTTGCCGCAAAGCAAAATAAATTATTTAATAATTAAACAAGTCATATCCAGCAGACTCTGAGCATATTTAAATATGTGTTTCAAAGGCATGGGGACGTAACATATTGATAGTTTGTGTAAAAAGGTGTCATTAAACGAAACAATCAAGTGTTACACAGTTTAAATAACAGAACCTGCTTCAATATCTTGTGGGGACTCAAATCATCACAAGAGCCGACTGTGAAGCGAAAAACCATCAGACAAGCCGGAGGCGCTGCTAGTATGGGAAAAAATGTGGAATAAATACTATGCTACTATGGGAATAAATATGGACATAATACCTCTTATATTTAGAACAAACCATTCCCTGTTTTTGTTAAAATTTGTAACAACTGTTTGTCCGAGATCGTGTTGCTTCAGAGGAACAGAAACTTGATTAATTTTCCCGATTTCAATGTTGACAACTCGAGATTAGATCCACCTACCGTACAAGCTTTTTCGTTATCACGAGCTGCAGTACAAGCGTTTCATCTTTAGAAGACAAAACCGTTAATTTGCTTTTCGGTTCAACTGAGCATACTGTATACTGACTTGTCCATACGTTACGTCCCTTTTTATCAGTAGATTGGTTTTGTACATTCACACGCCAGAATATCCCAGTCAAGCAGTATTAAATATTTCAGCTGTGTTGTGTGTCCCGCCTTTTATGAAACAATCTCCCAGATGTACACACTTACTCAATTATAATTAATTGTAACTTAATACATAAACTGACGGAATTCAGTTCAGGTTCCGAAGCGAGAAGATCAAAACGGGCTTTTAGTACCTTCAGGGGCCTTTTCAATACACGATTGAAAAAAGACCCATTAGGACTGCCTAGTGTAGAGAACTCCATCGGTCTGGTTTCTAGTGCCGCTCCTAACGCACCACAGTATATTATATTGTTCTTTGACTCGGGTCATGCGACCGAAAATGTATCGAAATAAGACCTTAACTTTAAAAAAGGAAAAGTCAGCACCATAATTAAATATTTAACAATAACAACGCATATTTAATTTAAAACGACCGGCACTAACACCCCAAAGCACAAAGCAACCACAGGAATAAAGTCTCGTAGGTATTAACATATATTTCAGGCGTTTGTTTTGTTTGTTTTGTTTTTTTCTATTTCCCCTTGTTTTCCTTGCTGCACCATGCGATCCTGATCTCAGATTAGGCAAAATCTTTTGTTTTGTTTCGAAAGGACTTTTATTACCGAGTACAAAATAAACAAACCCTAATAAGTGGCCATAACTCGTCTTGAAAAAAATGAACAAAACATTTCTTGTCTGACCTTCTGCGCAAATATTTCGGGGGCAAACTCCGCCACACAGGGTTTCGAAACTATCAGTCAGCGACATCGATAATTTCTCCTAACCACAAATCGCTAAATATTCATTTAGTTTTCATGCAGTTTTTGATGAATGTCGCCTCACTCATTTTTGGATGAGGATATACTGAGTACTTAAGTGGACACAATATTTAATTTGTTTTAACAAACTTTCCCTGTCGCAAATGAACACATATAAAACCTAAAACAAGTGCACAAATATTCAGTGGCTAACATACGTTTGATTTCCCTGTGTGTATACTG